ACTACTACTACTACTACTTCTACTTGTACTTCTGCTTCTGCTTCTGTTTCTACTACTACTGAGACTATTGCTACTGCTACTGCTACTATGGCTCCTGCTACTGCTTACGATTACTACTACTACTACTACTACTACTACTACTACTACTACCACTATACTAGTACTACTACTACTACTACTACTACTACTACTACTACTACCACTACTACTGCTGCTACTACGACTAGCTCTATCACATCTGCTTTTGTTGCAACATCTTGGGTGCCAGAGTGCTAGCGACAATAGTCGTGGCCATGAATGTAAGCAGGTCTTGTCATAGAACACATGAGGCACGACATGCCGAGGACCGGGTATGTGAAAGCTAGAAGCGCGTCAGCACCATAGTTAGCAGCAACAATCGCAATGTAGCAGCAGTAAGAGCAAGCTCCAAGGCGCACATGTTCTTTATGGGTTCATGGCATGTGAAGTTTGATCGAGGCTCAAGCAGATTTGCGGCACGGGTGTTGCAGACCCTGACTAATATGACCCCGAATGAGGAGTGCAATAGAGATCTTGCAGCAAGGCACTTAAAGACAAGCAATCCCGGTTCCACAGTAATGTCTATGCAAGTCCGGAATCGCAGTTTTGAGTTCTTCTTGCTTGCGCCCCGTTCGTCAACGCGAAGTCCTAATCGTAAACCTCTGAGATTCTGAGCCGTGAACCTTCAACCTTTGTAACGACCTTACACCCAGAGGCTAGGGTACATTCCAAATGAAGCCCATTCTCGGCTCTGGGTTTCTAACGTAGGATATCCTGTGCAAGACCAGGGCACCCCGGAACACGAACTGCATGCAAAAGCAGGTGCGGGTGGAATCAAGAAAAGAAAGGGTTTAGGGTTTAGGAAAAATAGTGCTCGAAGGAATGGCAGTCTTTGTTGAGGAAGAAGCCGACGTTCTTTAATACGCCTCACAGCGCGACACCTTGTTTCCCACCTAAACACGACATTTACTAAACCCAGGTCCTGAAGGCGACGAAGCCCTGAATCTTACGTAGCCTGACATCCGGACACCACCCTGATGAAGCCATTCTAGACCCCAAACCCTAAACCCAACGCCCTAAGCCCGAAACATCCCTAAAACCCTAAGCATCCGAAACTGATCTCAGGCGACTTGCCGGGCTTTTGCTTTGGCTTTGTGCCAGAGGCGGGATGGCGGAAGCTCCGTTGCAAGCAGGCTTGGTTTGGGGCTTCGGACCTGAACCCCAAAAGGAGAAGTCGACGCTTCCTGATTGTTCCGTTTACATCCGGAAGTCTAAGACCCTGTTTTCGGCGGACTTCTACAATGGGGAGGATACAAAGGGTAAACTGCTTATCGTGACGTTTATGGGCTTACCCGTGGTAGTAATAACCCTTACAGGAACGTATGAAGGACCAATATAGTTACCTTTGCAAGGAGCTCGAATTCTTGGTATGACATGTGCTGTTTAAGAGCCGGGAACCCGACCATGCAACTAACCCTAAATCCCAAGCCCTAAAACCTTAAACCTAATCATAGTTTGAAAATCTCCTTTGTCAGACTCTTTTCGGTCGTGGATCCGGTTCGTCAGGGTCTGGTTCCAGCATCTGTCCTTGATTGAGAGAAATTCCTACATGGCACTAGCGGCACACTTGCCCTACATCCTAAACCCTAAACGCTATGTGCATTCTAGTTTTAAACCCCAATATCAACATACTCTGCATGTGAAAACGTATATGGGTACAAATATATATATATATATATATATTTATATACAAGTTATATATATATATATATACACACACATGGGTATATACAATCAGATCCAGGTACAAACCCTGCCCAGCCTAAACCCTAAGGCCGAAATTTCATGCTCCAGACCCCGCAGCCCAACTTCAAGCCGAAGCTTAAGCCATGATAGAAATCCTGAAGCCTGAGTTCGATTATCTAAGGCTTGTGATCCCGCAAAGAATGGACCGAGCTGAATCTGGGCTGCAAGTGAGGGAGGTTCTAGAATCAACTTTATATGAGCCTTGTGAGGGCTCTAAGGGTCTAGGGTTTACGGAGTTGGGTTTTGGTCTAGGGGTGCTTATGCCTAGGTATTGTTCGTTGTGGGATGATTTGCGTCAAGCTCTTGTTTTGTGTGTAGAAGCTTCAGGTGATTTATAAACAGTATCCGTCATCACCGCATCTTTGTCCAGGGCGGCAGCACCAGCATTTTGATCATCAGCACAACTAGCAGCGGCATGTTGCTGGCGGTTCTACCTACAACCGCCTCGCAGTATTCCAACCCAAATTATCGGCCCTAAACCCTCAACCCTTAGCCGCAAACTCCTGAAAACTTGTGGTCAAGGCACTGACACGGCTGGACCACTTCTGCTGCAAGGAAGACAGCACATCTCGCTTGCACTCCAGGCATGCGGGTGGAGCAGTGGGGTTTCTTCGAAGGTTCCTTTAAGGGGTTCTTTACTGCTTTGTTAGGTATGGTTCAGGGTCTGGGCTTTTGCAGTTGGGTTTTAATGAGTGTATTGGATTTTGGGGATTGGGGTTGAGCCTTCTAGGGTTTCAAGGGGTTGGGCGTCGAACGTGTATGGCCTGTCTTTGCTTCGCTTTCGATTACGGGTTGAGGCTTCAGAGTGCAAGGTTGTGATCTTAGGGTTGAGTGTTTTTGAGAGCATGGCAAGTATGGGGCCGCCCATACTTGAAACCATCGCCGGCCCAATTGGGCCACCGAAATTTGTTTCGGAGGAGCCCGGCAATGGAAAACAACCCGGTCAGTAAATGATTTGGAAGGCGGGCCTCCCGAAATTAATCCATTGCTAATGCTATCGTTCTTATCACAACCAATATCGATTACCGCCACCATTCTGTAGTACTATCACTGTTACTAGCACTAGTACGATCACTGGTACAATTACTTGTATTGTTACTCGTACTGGCAGTACTGCAAGTACCATTGCAACAACTCGTGCGAGTGCGGCTACACTACCCCTACCCCTATCGCTACCGCTACCGCTCAGGCTACTACGACCGTTATATACCTCTACCACTAACACTACCACTACCACCTCGACTCCTACTACCACCCCTGCTCCTACTCCATGTCCTACTTCGCCTGCTACTGCTACTGCTACCACCATTACTAGCACTTCTATTTCTACTACGAAGTTCCGTTGGTGCAACTACGGCCAAGACCACGACTACTGCCACAGCCACTGCCACCACCACTACTACCACTACTACCACTACTACTACTACTACTACTACTACTACTACTACTACTACTACGTATACTACTACGTATACTACTACGTATACTACTACGTATACTACTACTACTACTACTACTACTACTGCTCCTACTACTACTCCTACTACTACGAC